AAGATAAAGAAAAGCACTTCTTCATAAGGCAAGAAGAAGGAGTAGTTAGAGAGAGAGAGAGAGAGAGGAATAGCGATAGTGGGAAAATGGATGGGAAGAAGAAATGAAAACGGTCAGAAGAAGAGTGGGGAGTGTTGAGTAGGAAAAGTGTGCGTGCGAGAGCCTTGAGAAGCGAAGCCAGTGCGTGCGTTGGTGGGCTTTACGGTTCCTATGGAGAAGAAAAAGCTCATGGGAAAGAGAAAGATACAGTCAAACTGCGCTTCCCTTATTTTATTCATATGCTCCCCTTTGCTTCGCCCCAAATGTTATTTAATAGTATAATTTATTTCAATTCAATGCCCACCATCGCATTCACACCCAGTTTCGTTATTCTTTTATTTTATTCCAAAATTTACGGTTTCTTCTTTTAATGGGCTTGTTTGATATGGCTATTTTTCAAATATGATTTACAAAATACAAAATAAATATATAAGAAAAGTTTTGTCTCGATTTTGTTAAAATGTTTGTAAAAACTTTTGCGTTGTTGATCCAAACAAGCCCAATATCAGGTTCTTTTCTCTGCTCCATCTTCTAGCTTCTCTTTTTTTTTTTCCAAAAAAAAAATCACTTTGCCTTTATGTATAATTATAGAGAGTACTACTTGGCAGTATATTCAAAAATAAATGAAGAATAATAAAATTAGCTTATTTCAAGGAGAAAAGGGAAATAAAGAGTGAGTTAACAAAATTGGAAGAAGTATATGTAAATAGAATGTTGTGGTATTAAAGAGGGGTACTGATAATAATAAAAAAAGAATGATGTGGCATTATTAAATTATGAAACTAAGCGGGAGATTTGGGGTGATGAGGGTGAAGGAGCCATAAAGGGGTGTGGGGCTGAGCAAAACTAGTTGCATCTGAGAGGGAATGATGAGTAGTGAAGGGTGAGGCCCACTGCTGAAAGCTTGAGGTTCCTTATGGACAAAGGCATTTTCATTTTTCCCTCCATATTAATTAATAGTATCCTTCACAACCTCCTCTTCCTCATATCCAATCTTTCCTTGCTTTTTCCCTTTTCATAAAGCTTCCTCACATAACAAACCCTCCTTTCATCTGTCCCTGCCTTCTTGTTGGATATGATGCTTCACCTTTTCACTTTTCTCCTCAACTCACCAAAGAAAATTAAAGAGTTCGACCATTTCTGTACCCATTGCAATAGTTGTAATTAACTAGTAATCATAGTTTAGAAGAGTACAGCTTGTACTTAATAATTGTTAACTGTCCTTTGAAGGCTGTAAAAGTTTGCCACGAATTATCACATCAAGAAATATACAGCTCTCGTCCTATTTATAAGTCTCTTCTAACATAATTTAACACAAATCGAAAAAATTTTAAATTTTATTATTTTTCATTTAAAATTCAATCACTTTCCAACTTTACCCCTATTTAATGTACATTATACCTCATATAAATTAATTCAACACAATAATAAATTAGGGATAAAATTATATATCTACATAAAAAATTTCTCTCAGTGCTCTATAAATAGGACTAAAAAATATATTTTCTCTCTACTCTATAAATAGGACCAAAGGAGTATATTAAAATTTAGCTTTAATTCATGTAGAAATTATTTATGCATGTTTTATGATAAACATACCGAAGAAGTAATCTTCTTGTTTGATTGAGCAGCTGAGCATTAAATATGGACATTCTTCCCAACAGATATTTAAAACCATAGTTCTCATAGTAACCTCTTTTGCTAAGCCTAACCCATGTTATTAAGCCCATAGGTTTTTTTTTTTTCTTGTTTTTACTAAGTACAAGTATCCTTCTATTAGAAATAATTTTGTTTGACATATTATCAAACACTAAATACAGACACAATTTCCAACAGAATTTGAATATTGATTCATTATATTGTAAAAGACTAATCCCTTGTACTAGATTTAATCTTTATTGGTAAGCCCATTTATTATAAATTTCCCTAGGCATTTTGAGACCTACCACAGGCTTCTCTCGACTATTATATTTATTATTATTCATACTAAAATTAATTAAAATTTCCCCTCTCTCTCTTCTTCAAACAAAATCGTCGGGTTTCTGTTCTTCACCTGATGCGTTGAAAGATTCCTCTGCCTTCGTCTCTACCAAAAACGATAGAAGTTAATTCATGATTTTTTCTTTTTCTACAAATTAAAAAAATCACATGAATGTCGTTTATAAGTTATGGTATATCCAACACTCGAAATATTTTTTAGGTGTATTCAGCACCTTAAAATATTTTGTAGTGCATTCAGTACCTGAAGTATTCTTTAGTGCATCCAGTACTTAAAAGTATTTTTACAGGTGTGTTTGACACCAAAGTTTTTTTTTATGCATCCAGCACCAAAACAAAAAAATTACTTCAAGATGATGGACACATCTAAAAAAATATTTTAAGATATTAGACGTATTTTAAAAATATTTTGAGGTACTGAATACATCTTAACCCTTGCTTATACGATGTTATGAATCAAGAGTGACGATGGGTTTTATAAACGTTGCAGCCGTCTGTTCATATCTGCAAGCCCTGTACAAAATGTCCAAGGTTGTAATAAGTATAACACATGTAGTGTATTTGATTCTTAATATAAAATATGAATAATTAATTGAAGAATATTAAAAAAATTTGTTTAGTTATTTATAATAAATGTGTGCTAATTTAAGTCATCGTATTTAATTATGATCCTTAAAGTTAGTTTTTAATGGAAACTCTGTAATAAAAATATTTTAAGAAAACAATTATAAATTTAAAAGATAAAGTAAATTGCTGGTAAAAAAAATAAAGTAAATTAAAATTTTATATTTAATGTTAAATTTAACCTTTTGCTTAGCATTTATACCATGAATGAGGGTAGTATCGACGTAACAGTAATAGAGCCAGACAACAAAATGGATCTAGCTGGATGCATAGTCTGGCTTTGCATGAAATAAGAAATTAACTCTTAAAACACTTCGCAGTGTTAAGAAGATCATTGTTGCGTGGTTGAAAAAGTGGATCTATATGAATATTCACATCAAACAATAAAACCATTTCTCGGTATCAAAACAAGACAGCCTTTCATATGCAATAATATAACTTTTGAATATGTTATATACACACACGTACCCATTTCATACTATATGTTTAATTCATATTATATGTTTAGCCAGATAATTAGTTTGAAGAAATTAATTTAAATATTGCAACCAAACATTCCGACGAATGTAACCAAAGACAGCTCATTTTGAAAATTCATACCGCTTCTCCATATAATCTTCATTTTTTTTTTCACATTTTTAAAAAGGTGGATTTCAGGAGAATAATATGAAGAGTTATTATAGAAAAGTTAAAAATGCAATTGTTTGGCACAAATAAAGTTATAAGTTTACTATTGATCTTATTTCTCAAGTGTACTAGTATCTAATTCTTTTAATGGTATAATTGTGCTCATAATTTTTTTTTTTAAATTCCAGGCATGAATTTTTATACAATTTTATTTCTAATCATGAATAAAACTGCACTATCAAGAAGATTTCCATTGGCGAGTGTTTTGAATTTGAATTTGGGGAGTAAAGACAAGGAATGGGCCAGGCGGAGAGCACCGAATAGGCCGATGGAGGCGTAACGTTTATAACGAGGGAGAGACTAAAAACAGAATTGGGGGGTTGACGCGGCGGAGCACGTGGAGCACAGGATTTGATTGGGCCAGCCACCTTAAAAATATCTCCAAGCTGACAGAGAGATACGGCAGATCGCCACCTTCTTCACGTAACGACTTCCGGCGTGGTCGACGACTGAGCCTCCTCAGCTTTACAACTAAGGGCTTGTTTGGATTGACTTATAAGTAGCTTTTCAAACGTGATTTACGGAATATGAGGTAAGTACGTGAGGAGAGTTTTGTCTCGACTTACGTAAACTTGTTTAAAAGCCCGTTTTGAACGGAGCTCCAAACAAGCCCTAAGCCTTCAACCTCACGAACCAACAGAGAGAGAGAGGGAGAGGTCAAGTTATGGTCAACTTCTTTCTTTTCTCTCTTTTCCTTCCCTCCAATGTTTTCCATTTACATCACCTAAGGTAGGGCCTATCTATTGTTCTCTTGCTAGTGCTTGTTGAAGGTTATCAGAATGTTTGGATAAAATTAAATCATAATTTTAAAAATAATTTTATAATATATAAAGTAATTCTATGAAAGAAGTTTTATTTCGATTTATGCAGAAACATTTTTTTTGATTCAACTAAACGCTCCCTATAATTGAGATCTCAAGAGCATTTTATTCACGTGATTCAAGATAAATCTCTTTTCATATAGTTATTTTATATTTCAATTAAAAAGTTGTTTTTGAAGAATTATACTGTCGTTCCAAACAAACCATTAACCTAGTGGCTCATCACTTATCATTTTCATTCCCAGGTTTCATTTTATTTAATTCACCTTTTAATGTTATCTCCAGTTTTTAATATAAGAGCTAGTTGATTAATTTGAATATATTAAGAAAATTTGTTAAATTATTTATTTATAATAAGTTGGTGTTGTCCTCCCTAAAATACTCTTACTAATCATGCGTATTAGCTAAAACTACCATTTGTTAGGACTTTTAACGCGTGCAATTATTACAAGGATTGTTTTGAAAAAAATAAATAAATAAAAACAGAAAAGCGGGTCAGATATTTAAGATTAGATTAAATGTCAAATTAGTTCTATCATGGAGTGTTTAAAACTTTTGCATAAGATGCCCATCTACATGACAAAAAGCCTAGCAGATGTGATTCGGTGACGGACGTGGATTGCTCGACAGAAATCAGAGTGGGCTTAAAGGAATGCATCTCAAGTATTGGGCCAAATCCAATATTTTATGATTGCCCATGAGCACAATCTATCTGGGCCACATGATGGCTTCGCCCAGAAAGGTAGCCCAAACATTTTCTCTTGCAAACGTGCGACCCTAAAACGACATCGCATTGCAGGGCCTCTGTGATCTGTCTCACCCTCACTCCCCGAGCTTCGCCTTCTTGCAATTCCATCGTCTCGTTCCCATTCGAAAAGGATAGCGGGAAGGGGAGGTCTTGCTCAGAATTTCGCAGATGGAGAACCCTAAGATTCAAGAAGTCGTCGAGAAGCAGGTTCTGACGGTAGCTCAGGCGGTTGAGGACAAGATCGATGAGGAGATCGCGGCCCTGGACCGACTCGATGTCGACGATCTGGAGGCGCTGAGGGAGCGGAGGTTGCAGCAGATGAAGAAGATGGCTGAGAAGCGGAGCCGATGGACTTCTCTTGGACATGGGGAATACTCTGAGATTCCTTCTGAGAAAGACTTCTTCTCCGTCGTTAAGGCCAGTGAGCGCGTCGTCTGCCATTTCTACCGGGAAAACTGGCCCTGTAAGGTACAAATTCGCGCCTTTTTATCGGAACTTCTAGGTTGTTATTATGTGGAGAGTTAATCTTCTTCGCGCGACGGCCTGCATAGGCCATGGCGTGGTTTTCAACTTGTTATTGCAACTTGGCATTTTTTCGAAGCATTGTTTTCAAAATAACGTGCAAGATATGGGTTGTTTTTATTAAAACTTTCAAGAAGCATACTTGTCAGCAGAACGGTGAGAATTTGGACAATATCTGTGCAATAAAACGCAAATTTTGATTATAAACACGATGGTGTATCTCCTTGTCTGTAACAGCAAGATGTTCTCTCGGAACCACATGATGCTTATAATTCAGCTGAAAGCAACGAATATCATCCCATTCGCATTTTTTTTGGGGTGGGGGGAGTTTATATGACATCTTGAGTACCAGCATCAGTCTTTAATGCATCTTAGCGAACTAACGAATATTACCCCATTCGCATTTTTTTGTTTTGTGTGGGAGGAATTTATATGACATCTTGAGTAGCGGCATCAGTTTTTAATGCATCTTAGCGAACCAAGTTTTTCTAAATGGAAAAGAAGAGATGTTAGCTATAGCACCTTGATGTCGCAGTAAGAGATTAGTATATTTTCTCCTATTAGGCACTTTCAGTGTCTGGTTTTAGAGAGATTTCACGAGTAACCTTAGAAACAGAGTTTCAATGCTGATAAAATTGCTCTTTTGGTGGTTCTTCAACTTATGAAATAGTTGCGTTCTTATGGAAATGAAGCTCACCATCCGAACCTTTAACTTATCCTTATGGCATTGTCCTAGAAATAAATTGAATATCTGGATTTTGTTTTTTGGACCAAAGCCTGCTGCCAAAGCTTAAAATGCGGTAGCGTGGCATGTTAATCGTGGCTTACATAAAAAGAAAGCAATGTAGCTTTTATTTCTTGTAGTGTGCCAACATCACCTCTATGTTGCTTCCAGGCTCCAGCAAGTAGTTTACTGCCTCTGGCTTCATTAACTACTTTTCTCCATTCCTAGTTAATATAGGCTTTTTTAAATTAGAAATGCTGTTTGATGTCTCTATTTTGATGCTATGAATGTGCTTTGACTGGTGTTGGAACTTGGAAATATATACTCTGAATCATGTGCTGAGGATTGACCCCATTATGAATAGCACTGTAAGTATCATCACTGTAGTAGAAAGTAGGCTTGGACTCTGCCATACTATGCCTCAATTTGAATATCAACCGGGCATGTTAAAATTGTAAATAAGCAATGACCCTTGCAAATTTTGTGCTTTTCTTAACATGGCGGCTTTCTGTATGGAACTGATTAGTTGGAGAAACATTTAATGTTTGCAGTGTATTTGCAGGTCATGGACAAGCACTTAAATATTTTGGCAAAGCAACATATTGAGACTCGGTTTGTGAAAATTAATGCGGAGAAAAGTCCATTCCTGGCTGAGAAGCTCAAGATCATTGTTCTTCCAACTCTTGCCCTCATAAAGAATGCCAAAGTGGATGACTATGTGGTACGTGTGTTTGGGAGAGTGTGTATGGGTATTGCCATACCTGTTAGGTATTAAGGGGTCTTCACTCTTCATTATTTAGTTTAGCACCTGCAAATTGATATCGTTGTATGGATTAGGTGGGATTTGATCAACTTGGTAATACTGATGAGTTTAGCACGGAGGAACTGGAGGAAAGATTGGCTAAAGCTCAAGTCATCTTTTTCGAGGGTGAATCATCAGTTAATCATGCAAGGTCCAGTGCACAAACCAGAAGTGTTCGGCAGAGCAGTAGGGAAGACTCATCAGAGTCAGAATAACTTGCATTTCCTGATAAGTTCTTTACTTGATTCTCCAGGAAGATTAGCACTTCGGCTACACCTTCAATATAGTCTCATCCACTTCCTGGCTGGGTGCCAGTGAAAATTTGTCATCATGATTCTAGATATTGTGCTTGATTCGGAGAGGATCATGCTTGGGTGAGATCATCTGTTATTTATCACCGTAGAAGTAAATTTTCGAGTTTTGAGATTGACGAGTTTGCAATTATAGCTGGAAACCAGTATCAGCGAGGTTTCTTGTTCTGTATGGCCCGCTGAAGGTTAAATGTAAAATTTTCGATGTTGATTGTTGCGTCATATTTGCCAGTCTCACATTTCTCTCCCTATTAATCCATCGTGACTCTGTTGTAATCTTTGGCTATTTTGTTTGGCTTATTATATATAATTTCAGATGCTTCCCTCGATCGATTTGGGTTCACCGAAATTATCGACTTTAGTGGTCCAGAGAAATCGTTTTCAAAATTCCTGATACCCATCGCACAATCACTCTGATTGCCAATCGACCTTCGTCCAAAGTAGAAGGTTGATTTGTTCAAAGATGGTATAATATCCATTCAATATATTCCTAAAACTTATTGTAATTCATTACTCCATCTGATTGGTTTACAATATCTTCGTCAAGATACAGCTGACTACTGGCTAAATTTTATTCAGTTCGTTTTATATTTTACTAGATGTTACCGCGAGATCAATATGAAATTAGTCTTTTTACTAGGCATGCATATATAACAATAACAACAACAACAACAATAATAATATACTTTTGTCTCTCTTTATCTGTTATTATGAAAAAAATAAAGAAGTACAATTATACCTTGAAAAAGGGAATTTTTTTAACAGATATTTATTTTTGTATTTTCACCTTCAAGTGTATTTATTTTAGTCACCATTCTTGCTCCTTTTATTTTTTTCCTCTATCCCGCTCGAGCGTATGTGCAAGGACTAGGGGTTTCTTTCAAATGAAATGGCACCGCATAAACGCGGAAACGCCGCGAGCGCGACATATAAAAAGTTGAATTCAATTTTGAGCCCTACTTTGGTAAATTGGTGAAATTTTCGACGGTGGCTCGGATTTTCTATCTCGTTTTTCTGAACTCTCAGGATAACGCATTGGATCCAAACCCAAACCCCAATTGAATTCCTCCTTTTCCGCTACCCATTCAATATTCCTCTCACCGCCTTCTCCATTTGGCGCGGAGGCTACTGTGTTACTCATATCGATAACGTAAGTTTCTGATTTAGCTTAGTTTCCTTCTCGTCATTACTTAGCTGCCGAAAGTAATGTTTTTTACTCTCCGGGTACGGCGGATTTTGCTTAGTTTTCGTTTTTCATTCTCTGGTGGTGGGTTTCTGTCTCCCTATTAGTCTGGGCTAATAATTTGAACATTTGTCTTTTAACTATTAATGCTTTTTGTGCTCTAAGAAGTTGCAAACTTAGCTCTCCAACATAGCTATGGGTATTCCTTCTCAAATTTTCCCATGAACAGGCCGCACTTAGTGTCGTATAATGCATATTGTGGAGCATTGCCGTATTTATTTTTTCATCTCTTAAAAAGAAATGCACTAGAGTTTCAGATTTTATAGGCTGCAGCTGGAACCAAGCATTAAAATATATGAATATTGCATGCATTTCTTGATTTTGGCGGGCAGCTGGGAACAGTTAATTAGTATTTCTAGCTGGGGCTTTGAGCTGTTGATGATTTGATGTGGCTTATCCCTCCAAGTCTCACGCTCAATACATTTAGTGGCTTGGATTTTTCTTTTAGCGACTAGTGAATATGCACTGCATTTGTATCAAGTTGAGAATTTTCTGACAGTTATCTGTCGTAAAAGTTGAAAAAAGAATGAAGTTTACTTGTTATAATATAGTTCTATGTATATTACTGTCCAATTCGCCCGCTCTGATGAAGTTACGTGAGCATAGGATTTAAGTTAGTGAACCTCTTCTCAAGCCTCACTCTGGGATTCAATGTAGCGTGTTGAATTGGCAGATATTAGATAGCTCAAGGGATTTGTTTATCTTTTTCCCGCAGATCAGTCATCTTCAATGTAGACAACTCATCAGGATCAAAAGAATTGTGGACATTGTAATGCACATAAGTTGTTTTCTCCAATAGGTATTTATGTACATGTTCAAAATGCGCTGCGATTTAGGCAAGAATTGTCAGAATGGGGAAGGTTCATGCTTTCAACATGATACCTTAGAGAAGGCTAATGCTATCAGCATGGAGGCTCCCTCAGATCAAATGAGTAGCAAAACCAAGGAGCTAACTTCCCATAATAACAATACCTCAGACCAGGTGCATACAATCGATCCAGGAACCACACATTCTGAATTGCCAGAAATAACTAATCAGATTGGCTCTGAATCTATGGTTAATGAACAAAGGGCTACTGGCACTAGGGAAACCATGTTTCTTATTGATGAAAAACCACCTCCAGATGGCGTGACTGGGAATATTGTTATTCAACTTCCTGCACAACCTCAATGTGACATAGACAAGAGCTGTCAAACCGAAGAAGGTTCAAGTTTTCAACATAATACTTCAGAACTGGGCAATGCTATTGGCGTGGATGCTTCCTCAGATCACATGAGTAGCAAAACGAGAAAGTCAATGTGCCACCCTCATAATACGTCAGAACAATTGCATATACTTGATCCCAAAACTGCTCTTTTTAAAATGCCTGAGAACACTAATCAGACTGGCTCTGAATCTTTGAACAATGAACAAAGGGTCCTAGGTACTGGGGCAACCAGCTCTCTTCTTGATGGAAAACAACTTACAGTTTCTGACAGTATGACTGGAGATTCTGTCATTCAATTGCAAACACGATCTCAACACGACTTAGACAATAGTTGCCAGAATGGAGGAGCTTCATGCTTTCAACATAATACCTTAAAAGAGGTTTCTGGTTCTTTATCTAATGATGAATCGCAGAACAAATGTCAGCAGGCATCCCAAGATGTTTATAATGAACCTGTGGAAAGAAATGGCGCAAATGAACAATTAGGTCCACCTTCACAAGACGCTGCCAAGGGCAGTAGTCTTAACTCTCTGCAAAGAAACTCCAGAAGAGCAACTCGTGCCCAGTTAGGGTCCAAGGATAAAAGAACTGCAGCATCGTTGAAAAAGAAATATATCCTAAGAAGTAGTGACAGAGTTTTGCGGTCAAGGACGCGTGAAAAACCTAAACCACCCCAATCAAATACTAATCTGGTTAATCTGGATCATAATGGAGAAAATAGAAGAAAAGGCAGGAAGAAGAATAAGCGTAGAGAAAGGAGAGTGACTGATGAATTTTCAAGAATCAGAGCTCGTCTAAGATATTTCTTAAGTCGAGTGAGCTATGAACAGAACTTGATTGATGCTTATTCTGGTGAGGGCTGGAAAGGATATAGGTTTGTAAACTCTTCTAATTATGATGCTATCTGGTTAAGTTGTATTCTATATTTGGATGAGTTTTGCATTCTGATCTACCTTGGATCTTAGCCTCTTATTCAGAATATCATTTATATTTGTTTAATTGCTGAGAAAACAAAATGATACTACATTTATAGTGGCCTTTAGTGCTTGCGTGGCACTTTATAAACACTTCAGTCTCAATTTCCGTGTAAATTGCCTTTGAGTTTAATGAAATGCCTGTTTTCAAGATTTGATTCTCTTTTTTTTTTTTTTTTGGGTGTTGGATTTTAATTAAAACTGTTCAGTGAAAGTATGGGTACTTGAGTTTTTCATTATATTCAGATTATATCATGGGTGTTATCATTTAATTGTTACTTGACCGTTTAAAAGTAAAGGATTATATACGTTGTGTGTGGAGTGCATTTTCTTTATGCCTTCCTTGTTACCTAACATTTCTAATTTAAGAATGCATCAACCCATGCATGTTTATATTTATGTGCATGCCAAAAAAAGCTACAAATGTTTACCACGAAATGTAATTTGATAGAATTTGAATTTTATCTTGAATGCTTCACTTGCTTGGGTTATTTGATTTGGTATCTAGCTGTCTTCCCATTTCCTTTCTGATATGCTATTAACTCTATGATGTGAAGGGGTGGATTTTGAAACGATACAACAGATTGCTAATTCTAGAGTGCTTTATTTTTGGTTCTTTGCCAACTTATTTCCTGCCTCTTGCTTGTATTAAGTAATCGAGTAAACTATAGTGTTGTTGTTGGAACTTGGAGTTATATATGGAACAGGAGTAAGTGACTTTGTTTATGAGATGGTCTGTTTCTGCTTTTATTCAGGCCTAGTGACATAGGAAAAGATTATTGTTCCAGTGTGAAAAGCAAAACAAAAAGGCATGTTCAGCAGTATCCGTGTACTTCAAGATCTCAACTAGACCTTCATTTGTGTTGTTGGACTCAATTTGTACTGACTTAACACAATTCATAATTCGAACATAACTTTATTGTGATTTTGCATTCCTGTTATGAAAATGGGTTTTTTATTTCCCCCTTGTCTACTTTAACCTTCACGGGTTTATTTTTGTTGTTTCTAATTTCACTGTTCATTTCTTTTGCAGCATGGAAAAATTAAAACCTGAGAAGGAGCTTCAACGTGCTAAGTCTAAAATACTTAGTTTTAAATTGAAAATTAGGGATTTGTTTCGACATTTGGATGCATTGTGTGCTGAAGGGAGGCTTCCACAGTCTTTGTTTGATTCTGAAGGAGAGATTTGCAGTGAGGATGTAGGTTGATCTTTTATGTTTGATTCCTAAATGGAAAATCAATTCTCCAGGACTGTAGTCTATATTTTATCTCTCGACATATGTTGCTGACTTAAATTTTTTGTATCAGATATTTTGTGCAAAATGCAGGTCCAAAGACTTGGCCACTGGCAATGATATAATACTTTGTGATGGTGCTTGCGATCGTGGATTTCATCAGTTCTGTCTGGAACCTCCTTTGTTATCTGAGAATTGTAATCTTCTAACCACCTGATTTGATCATTTAGTGCTTGCATACTCTTTTAACATTCATGCATACACTTTTGTGGCCATACAGTTCCACCTGATGATGAGGGTTGGCTATGCCCGGGATGTGATTGCAAGGATGACTGTTTTGATCTCCTTAATGATTCTTTCGGAACAAGCCTCTCTATTTGTGATTCCTGGGAGGTCAGTGGGAAATTTTTGTCCTCTGTCCATTCCTCAGTCATTACTCTTGGATTTTTCTTTCCTCAACATGTGTGTTATTGGCGCTCAGAGGGTTTTTCCAGAGGCAGCCGCAGCTACTGGAAACAAAGTGGATGATAACTTGGGACTTCCATCAGATGATTCTGGTGATGGTGATTATAATCCTGATGTTGCAGAAGATGAGGAGGTTGAAGGAGGCAATTCAAGTTCTGATGAGTCTGATAATGCTTCTGCTTCTGAGAAAATGGAGGCTTCATGTAATGAGGATCCATACGTAGGCCTTCCTTCAAGTGATTCAGAGGACAACGATTATGATCCTAATGCTGTAGATCATGACAAAGGTGCAGCTGAAGAAAGTTCAAGTTCTGATTTCACGTCTGATTCTGAGGACCTTGCTGATGTAGTTAAGGGTAGTGCATTATCTGGACAGGATAATTGTCCTGTACCTGCATCATCTTTGCCAGAGTTAGATCCTGGTGAAGAAAACTCCACTCCTGTCTCTGGGAAAAGACATATTGAAAGGTTGGACTACAAAAAACTGTATGACGTAAGTTACCTTTCATGGTTATTGTTTACAATGCTTGTCTACGATTTTGCATGCACTGTCTATTTTTCTCATGTGAAGTAGATCTGATTCTCATGCTGTGGTTCAATCTCCTGAATGTTATTTTGCATTTGAAGGAGTCTGTGGAGAGAGTTATTTTTTTCCGGTCCATTTAATTGCTTTCTCCATATTCCAGTTTTTAGCTGTCTTTGTTCCTTTTATAGGAGACCTACCAAAATGCTCCATCTGATACTAGCGATGACGAAGATTGGACTGCTAGACCTGCTTTAAGTAGGAAAAAGAAAGTCACTAGCAATGGGCTGCCAGTGTCACCAAATGGGAAAACCTCAGTACTGGATCATGTGCAGAAAGAAACTGAAAATACTCCTAGGAGAAATACTCGTCAAACTAAAGTTGAAAATATGGACAGTTCAACCAGTAAATCACTTGAAGGCTCTAAAGGGGCTGGTTCAAATGGTAAAAAACGAGGATCTTCAACATACAAAAGACTTGGGGAAGATGCAGTTAAGGTAATGGTGCATTGCCATCTTAGTTACACGGCCAGGCTTTCAAGTTTTAGATCCGCACAGCTGCCTCCTCCTCACTTACTGATCTGTCTTTTAAATTAATTTCTGCGCTCTTGATATATTCACAATATCACGTTTCCCTGGACTTTCTAAGTAAACATCTTTTGAAAATAAGAAGGTTGTCTTTTTGCTATCAATTATTTCATTTACAACTTGCTTTGCAATTTACATTGATCTATATGTGCGCTATTTCTATTTTTTCTTTCACAACTGGGCAAACGCAAGCATACGCTCAAATTAATGTTAAAGGGAGGGGTTTCTCTTACAGCGACTGAATTTGTATTTTCAGGTACTCTACAAAAACTTCCAGGAAAATCAGTACCCGGACCGTGCCACTAAAGAAAGCTTGGCAAAAGAACTTGGGCTTACTTTCAACCAGGTGCTATCTCTTGTTCTCAACAGTGAAATGCTTTTATAGCCTTCTCTCTATTATAAGCTTTTATTTAATCCCAACACCCCCCCCCCTTTTTCGCAGGTTAGCAAATGGTTTGAGAATACTCGTTGGAGCTTTCGGAATTCCCCAAGGATGGAAGCCAGGGCAAGTAAAAGTGCTTCACAGGGTGCCACTTCCAGCAAAGTTGAAAATGAGATAGCACTTGGTGATGAGAAGAGGGACTCAAAATCAGTGTCCCAGGAGGGGAATATACAGAAATCAAAATCCCAAAGCTCTAGAAAGAGGAAGCATAATACCGATACCGAGGAATCTGATGCGAATATAAACATTGATGATGCAGCAACAAAACCTCTTGTTCACTCACCTAGAGTTGGTGAAGCGCAAAGGAACCGCAAAACGAAAACAAGGAAGCGAAAATGAATTTCATATTGAGAAGTCAAACTTGATCGGTGCCTTGGGCAACAAATTTTAAGTGATCCATCTTTTGCTAGATTGAGATCCTGTAAGATGGATTTACTTACTCTTAATCATGGCAATATCAGAAAGTGTGCCATTTGTAGTTTATTTGATGGTTTTCATAAATTAACATAAGGTGGTTCAATTTTAGCATGGCCCCTCCTGAAAACACTACTGCTGGCCTTCCATTTTCTTTAATTTTCCTTGTTTAGACTCTCAATTCCCAAAAGGTCTTTCCCTCACCTAAATTGAGGCAGAGGGGTTGACTTTCATTACAGAAGTTAAAATACATGTAGACAGCTTAGTTGTATACTTCAAGCATTTATTGCCATCACAGGTTGATGATATTCAATCTTACCTAGTGCTCCCTCCTAATTTTTTTTTTAGTAAGTGACAGTTTTTGGGTATGACTTGATTATATTTTCAAGAGATGCTTAGAGGTTGCCTCTATTTTTTTTCTCTCTCCATATTTTGTTCTCATTTAATTACTCATTAATAAAGGACAGTTCTCCCCCTCCCCCTCCCTATCAAGGTATTTTTGAAAAGGAAAAAGGGTTACATTTTTTTGTATATCTATTATCTCTGATTAATTCTGACTGTTTTTTTACCAATATGATTTAGTTAATTGTCTCATAAAGAGGAACGTATGGAGTAAATGATAGCGGCTCATTTTGCATCATGGTCTAGTTAGGTTGTATGTTCTTGGAAAACAAATTATGACAATTTTATGGGTCTTTTTTCTTGGCATGAATTCTTTTTTCTTGGCATGAATTCAAGGCATTCTGAAATGACTGATTGTTGCTAATTTGAGAGCATTTAAGGTTGAAGCTCTCTAATTAAGTGCACAACGAGTGTGCTTTTTAAAATTCAAATTTATAATTGTTTTTTACGAGAGCAAGCTCATTGAGAACCTATTTGAAATAACTTATGAGTAATTTTTTAATAATAATTTATGAAATATGAAGTAAATATGTGGAAGAAGTTTTGTCTCAATTTATATAAAACATGTTTATAAATGTTTTTAAATACTATGTCAAACATGCCTTTAATATATATATATATATATATCTTTCGTCTTGTGTAGTTGTGTTACATATTTGATCATGAAGTGCGAAGAGCCAATAATCGGAATTGAAGTGATTATGTTTGCTGCATTCGTTGAGCTCCGGGAACGAGAAAGTTGGCATTGTCGGAAGTAAGCTATTTCAAAGAGAAGAAGAACTTCTTCAGGCATTATATTATGTTGAGGGGCTTATTATGTTTTTGCCAAAATGGAAGTTTGAAAGTGGCATCGAGCTCGTAAATTTGTCGGTTTGTTCTTTTGCATGAAGCCATGCCCATAAGACAACACTTAAAAAGGAAATGAGGCAAATAGTAAAATGCAATTACCAAAGGATCTAACTCAACTTGGATCATTCTTCTCCAAATCAGCCGGTCACTGACAGATTTGGACAAACAAGGTGGGCTCCATTGATCGAGTGCCTTTCCTTTCCCTACCAATTTCTTCAATTATTTCTCTTTACTCTCAAGTCTGTCACAACTATTGTAATTAGCATCAATTATTTTACCGATAGAAGTTGGGTCTAATAGAATGTATTAGTCTCGTAACTTGGTAAATTAAAATTTGAATTTGGAAGAAGTAGAAAATAAAAACATTAATTGCTTCTCATTATATTTAAAAGATAATTTTTTAAAGGCCCCTTTAATTAGATTTCACTCCGCATAGTACTCACATACTTATTCGTTTAATTAGATTTTACTCCACATTCATTGTTCATGAGGTGTAGTCTCTCCATCGTCGTGCACACAACCCAATTTATTTCTTTATCTCTATTTTTTTTTTGGGCGATACTTACATATTGTAATTTCCCATAACGCATGAAAATGAATTCAATTCAACTTACAGTATTTTTTTTTTAGGCTGATCTTCGATCAATACATGTTTATCTTCAAGTAGTAAAAAAAGAGGCGGGGATAAACATATAAGGAACAAGTGTATACTAGTATTCCAGCCAGCTGGGTGAAGTTACTGCAGCAGATATAGTAATTTTATCTTTTAACACTCACAGAGGTGTTTTATACATGAGCAGAGATTTGAGCATCAAATCTTTATATAACTCTAGATGTAATTGTGATTTTTCTTTTAATGAAATTTGGATAATATATTCTACAATTTTTCCCTTTTTTTTTTTTTTTTTTACACTTCCATTTTCTTATGGGGAAGCAGATATTTGAAAGAACTCACAACTTCTGCCTTTACGACACGATCCGTGGTTATAGTTTTTCTTCTTCTACAGTTCATCGATTTGAAGGTGAATCAGATGAACGACTGAATATGTAGTTTATTTACCTCTTCGCATTGTCGTATGATGTTGGCTGAATTATTAGAGAAAATTGGATTTTCAAGTTGGAGTTATAACGTGAATAAGAAGTACAAAGTATAAATTTTATAGCATCACCTCCGTAGAGCCAGCATAAAGGGAGGTACTGATTTCTTCGTTGTCATTCTCTCGGTCTCCTGGGCATGTTTGTTTCGGCTTTCAAGCTTAAATTCACGAGCCAATTTTTCAGCCTGAAAAGCAGTCAGAGTCTGAGGTCTAAATCAAGCTTGAGCGATTCTTGTGCCTCAACTTGCTGTGGTGGATCCAAATTATGAAAGCTTCCTGGCCACACCAGTTTCTTTTGATCCTCCACCCACGAAAGGTGAAGCCCATGCCATTGCAAGTTCTTGAAAGCTCGATGCCATTATTGTAGTTCCACCCCAGCTTGATGATGTCTTGTGTACCAGTGAATGGGGCTGCACACCAAGCGTTCGATGAAATGGTGAGTTGATGGAAGATCCCATCGTCATCATCAACTTCTGAGACTGGTATCTTCTTACTGCTCCTCTTTCCCTTTTGTGTGCGTTCTGATGACCCCCTAATGCTTGTGAACTAAAGAACTTCCTCATGCAGAAGTTGCAGGAGAAAACTTTTGCTGCTGCTGATTTTGATGTTTGAGGACCTGGGTCTCCTGCTGTAGATAGTGGAGTAGTTTTGCCTCCTAAGCTCAGGTTCAGCTTTAACCACTCTTCAGGATCTTCGTTTTCGCTTGCTTGCTCCTTAGTTGGTTGAAAGTTCTTTGATCTTCCTCAATGATCATTTTGGTATCTCCCAAAATCCCAAATGATGAGTTTCAGGTTTGAAACGTGAAACTTCAAACGAGTAGTAGAATAGAAGGAAATGCTTATTGGAATCCCTTTTAAAGGATAGATAAAAGCAGGAAAGATAAACGGATGGGGGTATCATACTGTAAAGGAAATAAAATCGGATGTGTTTTTGTTTTTTTAATTTATAATCTCATAATAATCATTGACCCCACCTAGTGATGCTTAGTGCTTCAGGGAACAATGCTTATATCAGCTTCAGTGCCGCCCTTGTCAATCTTAGGATTCTCTACTTTCGTCCTTCTCTTTCCTCTTTTATCCTCACAAAGTTCTTTTCCTTGTTGCCTATTTTGGGAAAACACAAGGTGGGCATTAGTAAAACATTTCCATATCCATTGTCAAAATCATATCACAACTTATTTGAACTGCCTGCCTGATGTGTGTTCTTCTCACACATCATGTAACAAATCTTTCTGCTCATCTTTTTTGTGAGTAGGGTGGATATGATAGGTGTTAAGATGGAGTCTCGATGTTTATCCACTCAGGCCGCTGTTACATGAATGAGATTTGTTTATTTCCCACCTTTTAAATTTCAATTATTCATGAGAGTAGCAATTGACCAGACTTAAATGTAGTTCCAGTTTTTAAGTTTAATATTATATGAACTTCGTCGAACTTTATGCTCGAATTCTTTAAAAATCTGTTGAAGATATTATGATAGTATGATATCCACTGCTGTAAATTGGACTTTTAAAGAGAACATGCACCTTATAAAGTTTAGCAACGTGCACATGATTGCATAAATGTGTCTCTTTAAAGAAATAATGCCCTGAACCCCAACGATTAGATCATTTGGCTGGGTTGTTCTAGCTTAATTACAGGTCTTGAGTTCGAGACGTGAGAACAAAGCATCTTAAGGGCCGGGACGCCAAACTTAACGGGTCCTATCATGCCTTAATGCGGATTAGTCTGAACCTGTTGTTGTGCCTGAAAGATGGCCTGACTCAGGATACCGGGTGTCAATCAAAAAAAAAAAGAAGAGGTAATACCCTGCCATTGAGCTAACATATTATCAAATTTCATTCTTACATATAAACACACACACAATATAAACATGCGTATCTGAGTGAAAACACACACAAACACACACACCACAGAGGGGTGGCAGGTCTAAAGTATGGTCAACATGGCGTTTCCTTTAAGTTCCATGTTCTCCATTGACAATGAACAATGAACATATGGGGAAGGGGAAGTGACATGCGGGAGCTATGGTGCGGTGGGTTGGACTTTTCATTGCTTTCTGATATGAAATGTTCGTGGGGAGAGTGGGACCCTCATTATTGTCAATAATGGCGGTAAAAGTAGGAAATGAGTATGGACGGTCTTTTGCCATTTTTGAAGTAGTGTTAGGGTTGAAGGCAGCGGATATCTATATGGGTGCCTTCATGTTGGGGGCTTTCTTTCGGGGTTCCTTTTCAAGCTTTTGTAGCGAACAGTGGATATTTACTGTGGGATAAGAGCTTTGAGGACCATTTTTTTTTCAGCTATAAATTCAAGTAGGTTAATTTTTATCAGACCGGGAGTGTTAATGTTAAAATTCTTTTAATAAGTATACTTTTTGATATTAAAACTTATGTTATTTTCTTTCTAGGGTGTGAGGCCTATCTCAGTTCAGATTTTATTTTATTTTTTGAGTCTTTTAGAATAATTTTAAGTTTAAAATAATTCAATATAAATAACTTTGATTGGAATTTAAATCATATTTTTTAAAAAAAAAAAATATATTTTTGCTTAATCTTGTCCTAATTTATTTTAATAGGCTATATTCAAATGAGTTGGTATATATTCCAAATTTGGAATATGGAAGATACCTAGCAAAAATCTTTAGATCGACAGGTTCAGCCTTTTGGGCATAATATATATCAGAGGTGGAAAGTATTTGATTGAGAAAGAGAGCATAATGAATAATGAATTATAGCTACAGCAGAAAAAAGGCATAGATATTTGTAGTTTGATTTATTCCTATCCAATTGCACTTTTTAAGTTAAATCATAAAATATTAGAATATCATCTGTAATCTCTTGAATAAATATTAACTTATTTGATTTGGAATACTTTCATTGTAGTTGAGCGGCATGTTATACTTGGGAATATGTTGTAGTTCCTCTGTAGCATCATGATGGTAGAGGTAGACCCATATTAAAGGAGAGATTCGTTATATTATTATTTCAGTCATCTTGTTCCTGCAACATGACTAATCCTACCCAACTAGATATTTTAGACAGGAAATGATATGAAAAAGATTAAGTAGACTTTGGTTGAGTTCTTATTGGCGATTCTATTCCTAGTTATCAAAATAACAAAAGAATAATTACAGATAGGAAAAGCAGGGAGCATTCCTTTCCCAGTATTCCTACTCTAAAACCAAGGCAGTGTTGGGTTTGAACTTGTGACCAGAGCAGAAAGCAGAGGATGAGTCATTAGAGGGAGTAACGACATTCCAATAAATGGACAATCACATAAGATAATATACATATAGGAAGTTAGGTACAATGTTTTTATCGTTTGTCAATTCACAAAATAGGATGTAATAATTAATAAACCTGCAAAAAATATGTGAGCCTGCTTTGCGGTTTGCTTAACCAGCTTAGGGTATTTAGATTGACTTATTTTTATGAAAAAAATAGTGTCTCAATAATTTTATCTCATAAAGCATAAAAAGTTTTAGGGAGAATTATAATGAGGCTCTAAGTGAAAAAAATAATTATCAAAAAGTCCAAATAACAAGTTTGAAGTGTTATTTCTACTTTTCAACTTGTTATTATAGGTAGTTTAATTATTATTGAGACTTTTTTATTATTATTATTTTTAGGTACTTTATTGTAATCTTCCGAAGTGATTATATAGTACAAAAAATTTTCAAGTGCCATGGCCAAATAGCACAAATTTTAAAAGATTAGATTTCTTAAAAAATAAACTCCCCGATTAAAAAGAATTATGTATGAATTAATAAATTATTTAATTGTTGGCAAAAAAAATATTCAATTACCTTATTTACACGTTTTTATATTCACCGTTAATTTTTAACAAAAAATTGACGAATAATATATTTTATAATTTAAACAATATCTCTACATGTCTTCTAATCTAGTAACAAAAATCATACTCCTTCAATCTTATATATAAAAAGCTAATTAGAAAACTAATTTTGATTATCTTTTCCTTAAACTAATTCATCCGACTTATAAACTAATATATAATTTAATGTTACATTAAAGTATTTTTAAAAAATTCATGTCACATTATATTAAACAATTTTTTAATAACTTCTTTAATCTATTCAAATTAATTAAATAAATCTTACAATAAACATTATATAAATTTTGTCGAAACAATAAACCAAACACAAGTTAGTTTGTGTTGTGCCATTGTTCAGGCTGCAGTTAAATCCTAAATTCTCCTCAGATGGAGCTCTGATAAAGTCATATTATTCCCGAATAGTGAAATGAAAGAGGAAGCAATTATAGCACGCAGCCAAGAGACCAGATACAAGAATTAAGCAAGAGCTGACATTCCTACACAAATCAGAAATAGGAAGTAGAACCTCCCTCAAACTAGAATTGCATAAACAGAGAGTCTCAATCAGGAATCAGGACTCCTACACAAGTTTTTTTTTTTTTAATTTTTTTGGGGTAACTAAGTGACCTCCCCACAGACCACAACCCGGTAAATCATCGCTTGATATTCTTGAACAAGCCATGTAGATCCAACAGCTCCCTCAGGTACCTGCAAATAAATTAAAAAAAGGGGAAAAAGTACAAAAACTGCATAAATATGGGAGCCTACATGGTACGCAGCATCATAATTTTAGAAAATCCCATTAAATTTAAATCCAGCACCAGGTCACTTGTCCCAATTGAATAGTACATAAAAATGTGAAAATTCTCAGAAATTACAGCGCTCCAGCCACACACGAGACTTATTGTTTAATATTAAGAAAAAAGTTATTTTAGTTGATTAAATTTAAGGGAATTGTTGGGCTAAAGATGGGGGGATGTATTAATTGGCCATATTTACTCTAATAACTCCTTTATATTTAATAAACCAAAAGCACTTTTTCCTCTAATCTTAAACAAATGGGCCCTTATTTTATATTGAACCCATGAGGTCTATAAGCATAACAATAGCGAACAACTGGTATTTCCACTCAAGAGTATAATTAACCATTCTGAAGAATTAAAACAGTAGAAAGAAGCTTTGATAGTATAGCAACATTAAGTATACTACATAAGATTAAAACCATACTCCAAAGGAATGGACAGAATAAAACGTTTTACAACCATGCGCTAGCTTTTTGAAGCTTTCATTTTCTCCCTAGCAGGAAATTCATACAGGGAGCAACTACACCAACTGTTTGGCAAAAAAGCTCATGTCTTTCAAAGTGAAGGGTGTGGAGTGATGTCAAAAAAGTCGTTTTAAAGTGGTTAATGATAACATTCTAGGGGGGTTAGAACCAAAGTCACGAGTCAGGATCACCTGTGAGATGAATGAGTTAACCCATAGTAAGTAAAAATAGAAATCGTGAAAAGGCTAGTAATAAGGCCATTCTGAACATATGGCAGTATATACTACCTCTAGTCCTGAATATAAGAAACAAATAACTAACTTGCAATGTTAAAAATATTAGTTGAAAGCATTTACTCATCATAAGCATGTCACAGTGTAAAATTTCCCCCCAAAAAAGTGGTCCAATTTCAAACTTTTGCCAAATATTTAATGACACTCATAAAACCAATTACTATATAATGAAGGCATGAGAAGAACTTTTAATAACAAGATAGAAATGGGCAGTTATCTCTTATATTTAGGACCAAGAGGCGGCTATCTAAATTCTCTTATATACTCTCCCCCTTGACTTTTTGTTTGTGTGCCCGGCCTTCATATTTCATATTGAAAGAAACCAACTAGTATCAAGATTTTTTAGTCATAGAATTTCCAGAATTGTGTAGAAAATAAGATAAAGCCAATAAATTTGTAATAGACTAAGAAAACATGAAAAGCTTGCAAAAGAAAACAGAAGATCAGGGCAAATTTAATTCATGCATGTTAGATTGTGTAACAACAAACAGCATGCAATAGATTATTGAAGGCTTGAAGCCTCATTAAAGCGAAACTCACCATAGGAGATGCTTAGATGTCTAGGAAAATCTAACCAGTGCCTCACTTCATCTCTAAGCATCATGAATCACTCACTTATATAAGATTCAAAGTGAAGATAAATAATATCAAATTGGTAACTTAGTATAGGAACAAAGAACCTACTATGCACTATGCAGCATTCTTCTCATGCCATTGGATGATCCATGTCCTTGCGCATCACCCATCTTTTCCATTCCTACCTATAAATTTGAATCTTAATACCTTCTTATCAACCAAGTGAGATAGACGGACACACACATCTAAGGTCTAAACAATTTATCACTCAGAATGAGCAATTCAGCACTTACTAATCCTCAACATCAATAAGGCTACGTCCTACAATTCTGGTTCTCTAGAGCAGTTGAGGGGTCACAAGAAAAAGGAAAAAATAAGAATTTCTTTCATGCGTCCTAAAACAGCAAGACTCACAAAGAAACTACTAGCGATCTTGACAAGAACGGCGGAAGGTACCATGGGACAGCTCGCAACAAGCCCGTGCGCTGACAGCGAAGTGCGATGTGAGACAGGTACTAGTATTATGCAGTGGCAAAAGCGATTGAGCGCATCCCAGTTCGCCCAAGCTCCTAAGTCAATGGAAAAAATGATAAGCACAACATAATTACAGATATTTGCAAGTAATTTTATCATAAGAAATTGGGGAACGAGTTTATGTTTCCTCTTAGTTTCTTAGCCGAAGAGACTTGGCAGACGATGATTATCAGACAGAAGTTATGCACATACAAATTAAAACAGGTGAGTTTAGCAAGGTGGATTTCAACAAAAGACAAAACGACTGCTGAAACTCAGGTTAAAACTTCATTTTTGTTCGCCACATCACTTTTTAAGCCATCAATTGAATGGAATCCTAAGAAATTCCTAAACTTGGAACGCGGAAAGCAAAATACTTTTAACTGAATCGTCCATGATTAGGCGTTGCTTACGCACTACATTTCAAAACTGGACATGAAAATGGAAGCTAGTAAGGCACACGGGGTTATCAGATGAAAGATGGCACCTGGAAGTGGCAGACGAAAAGCGGCGGGGCCAAGGGAGAGGGGCGGTAAGTGGCGGTGGCCGAAGACGGGGAAGCGGAGACGGCGGCGAAGGGCGAAGAGAAGCCCTAGCTGCGCTCATCAATGAGCGAGACAGAGATCCAGAGCGCCAAGCCATTTCTGACTTCTGCTGAGTACTGAAATGAATCAATCTCGGAAGAGACGAGGGCAGAATAGCACCCAGGACAGGACTGTGATTGAGGGCTTTGCGAGGGTTTAATGGTGGTACAAAGCGATGTCGTTTTGCCTTCTTACTGAGTTCGGGTTCTTTCCTGGTCAACCATGCTCTATGCACAGCTCATTCTACAGTCTACACTCTTATCAAGTTATCATCTCCGGTTTGGGAAAGTATGGACAAATCGAGATAAATTTTTTTACATATTTATTTTATATATTATAAAATATTTTTAAAACTATAATTTTGATTCATCCAAAACACCTCCTAATACTAATTTGCAGAAATTAAAAAAGATAAATAATTGAATTAATTATAATATATGTTATATGACTTTTCTCAAGCACTTATATGTATAATTACATTATATATTAGTTTATAAATCAAGTAAAATAGTTTTAAAAAATAATAAATATAAATACTTTACGAAAAATCGCAAAAAGCATGTGTTTGGCTGTAGTGTCCAATACAAGAACCCCATCAATTACTTCTATAAATGCCCTTCAAATCGTATCTTACACAATTTTACCCCTGGGAAAAAGGTTTTCCCCCTTCATCTGTGATTGCATGACTGGTTTTAATAATCTCAGCAGAAAAGTCATTTTGTTTGAAGAAAAAGACTCTTTTTAATAGGTGGGAAAAACTTCATAATGACTTATGAAGAGAATTATATTATTCATATTTGAATAATCATATTTTTGTAATAAGCATTTTAATAGATTAAAGTCCAAAGGGAAACGACATTGACATTTGATCAGGAAGAGGTTACCACCAACTCTTATAATATTGACAAGGGCCTCTGACTTTTATTTATAATAATGATAAGGCCCTCTGACTTTTATATATACGTAAAATAAAAGCTCTGCAAATTATCACGGTGAAGAAGCTTCCATTTCAGTTGAGGCATTTCAGCTGTCCATCGAACTTATAAAGGACGTCAGGCAAGAAGTTTGCAGAGATCAAGGAGGCTCTGTAGTGAATTCTTTTGAGAGTGGTGTGATGATTGGACCAGACAGCAGCCTCCTCAAGGTTCCCTTCTCTCCACCTTATGCTAATCGTAGTTCCTCCGCGAGCTTTCAACCCTTCCACTGATCCATTTGGCCATTTCTCCTGAGGAAGTGCCGGAAGTAGGAAAAGATCTTCTAATGTGCTCTGCACAAGCACTTCTGCAATTGCAGCTGTAAAACTGCAAAACAAGTATCCACAATCAATCGATTTGTCATTTGATTCTTTGACTAAAATATAACATGTTTGGCTTGGAATTAATGATGGCATATCATGAACAGAAGCACATTGTTGCTCTAATGGATCCTAACAAATCAATGGCACTTTCAAGTCTCATGAAGCCAATGATGATGAACCTGATTCGTTAAAAAGTAAGGACTGAATTCTGTTGCTAAGAAAGGTTACCCAAAGTTGGCATCAATCTGAAATGGTGGATGAGCAGCAAATAAGTTGCTATATAGTCCTCCTTCAAATTGTACCCCTTGATTAGGATCCACCAACTTGAACAAACGCTTGATCATCTTATATGCATTGTAACTGTTGCGTAGCCTAGCCCAGCAAGCAGTTTTTCCATGTGATCGACCATCCTGGACCTTTCTTCTCCTGTTTCAAATAACAAATTTAGATCTAACAAAGCTTATTCCTTCAAAGTAAGCAACATCATAATGTAGCCAGTTAACTCGGCCACCTAGTACATCATAAGTCAAATCAACAGAAGTTCTACAAGGAAATTCCAGCGAGACAGAAATAGACAAGCAAGCTAATTATTCAACTTATGCTAACCTCGTTTATGCAGGCTTTTCTCAGCAGCTTCAAACAGAGCTGGACTTTTCTCAGAAGTAATGGTATGCCCAGGGAATAGACCAAACAAATGAGAAAGGTGACGGTGATGCACATCTGGATCCTTAAAGTCCTTCACCTGCATTACGCGGCAGATTCATCGTCTATCCTTCAAGTTTTGCATATAAAATTTTACCATAAAATTAAAGCAACGTGCATCCTCCAAATTTCAAGCTTGTAACATACCCACTCCATTATGCAACCATCGCTAGCAATCTCAGTTGGACGTAGCCTTGGTTGAGCTTTTCGGACTTCTTCAACAATATGATCCTTGTCTCTCCCTAAATCTGTTCTGGCAAGGCCGCTAAAGCATAAATACAAGATGAAATCAATCGTTTTGTATGCTTTAATTAACATTAAAGCAAGTTTACCTCAGCTGCAGAAAGAAATATGGAAAACTTCTTTTATGATTGCCATGTCCATTGTTGATGATCGGCTCACACAAGCAGGCTCACCATTGGGAGCAGTAAACATGTGTTCTGGGGATGTTGATGGATTTGTTTCTAGAAATCCTTCATTGCCTTCAATCAGCCAGCTCAATAAAAACGATACACACCCTTCCAACAAGGGATAAGCTTTATATCTGAGGAAATCCTGTTAGAAACAACAGATCAGCAAAATTTGCCTTTGAAATGCTTACTATCAGATGGTACAAACACGGTATCTCATGTCTGTTGGAAAATGTGCGTAAAGACTGTAAAGGCAAAGCATCAGATTTCTCAAATAGAATTCTTTTAAGCGTTTCAATCACTTAACTTTTATTATCATTTTTTTTATTGCTTTTGTTTTTTCGTTAATCTCGTCAGTTGATTAAAAATCTTATGCCTATCAAACTACACTCACCTCATCCAATGTGTAAGCATATTGCTCCCATAGATGTGTACAAAGCCATGCTCCTCCCATTGGCCACAAAGCCCACACGACATCACCGTCGCTTGCTGATGATTTTGCCCATATATCTGACTTGTGATGCACAACCCAACCATTTGCTTTGTAGTTTACCTACGGCATTTAGTAACTGAAAATAAGAGAACATAGGCATAATTCATAAAGCAAAGCATAAAAATCATGCATGCACAAGAAGAATGGGGGCCGATCCGGTCTAAGGCTCTCCAGCATTGCCTTCAGTGTAACTTCTGCAGCAACCTTAGACATGAACCAACCCCTAGGCCCAAAAAAAAAAAACTGCCCCCGCCATTAGATGCCCTGCTGTTGTTTTTTTTCCCCCCAGCTGATCACTACCTAGTATGCGGTGAGTTTTGAAATATGAATAACTGGAGAAGGATCGTTAATTAATAAAGTCTAAGATAAAAATGTAAAAGGTGAACGATTCTTACTCTTGCAGTTTCTCTGCCATTTAGGGATAGAGAGGAAATATAATCAAACAGGGGCTCTTGACACTCGCTAAGGTTGCAAGGCAGAGAAGGCCAATAATTCATTTCAAGATTAATATTCAAATGCGGAGCTCCACTGGAGATAGATAATGTGTTCATTGTCAGTCTCGAATAAAATTGTTATGCAGGATTGAAATAAATATTGCATCACTATTCACTAAAAGAAAGAAGAACTGAAAAAGGAACCGTGGTTAATATTTACAGTGAATAGAGAATGAAAAGCACGCAACGTTGACAGAATATCAGTATTGACATTGATAATGTCCTGTTTCCATCACATCCTAGGGTACCCTAGACTAGCCTTCCTTGTGATGACATAAAAGCATCTTAATGCAGATGAAAGTAAAGTGAATCTAATCAGATATGAGTTTTCACAAATTCATACTCATTAGTGAAGGTGAGGTTTAATTTTCTGCAACCGCAGCCGCACAAACACATGCTCCTTGTCATTTAGAAAACAGATTGGTGCAGCATTCAAGTGAATAAGTGATAATGATACGCTTCCTGTCCTAAATGTAGATCCATTTACTACAAAATGGATCTTACTGTTAAATAATGGAGGGGTATTATTTTAGGACCCCTCTTGGAGTCAGCATTGCAGATGTAATACCAAGAAGAGAACACATACAATATAGAAGCATGGCAATTGCTTCTAGGGTTATGTTTGAGATAATGTCCTAGTCTCAGTGTATACGCCGT